AGCATACCAAGACATTTTGGACAACTTTGTGCTCCCAACTTTGTCAGAACAGTTTGGGGATGGCCCATTCCTGTTCCAACATGATTGAGTACCAGTGCACAAAGCAAGGTTTATAAAGACTTGGACGAGCAAGTTTGGGATGGAGGAATTTGACTGGCGTGCACAGAGTCCTGACCTCAACTCGATAAAACACCTTTGGGATGGATTAGAGCAGAGATTGAGAGCCAGGTTTTCTTGTTTTTCATCAATGTTTTCATCAATGCCTCACAAATGTGCTTTTGGAAGAATGGTCAAATATTCCCATAGACACACTCCTAAACCTTGTGGAAAGGTGGACCAACTCAATATTGAACCCTAAGACTGGGATTGTGTCTTGTTTTTTCCCCTCCCTTTGTTCCTTTTAGCATTGCTTGGTACATTCCGTGGTAGACTGACATGGGGAGGTCCAGGAATAGGGAAAATTGTATTCCTTACTTACCATAATTTTCCTTTCCTGGATACTCCACATGTCAGCTGGGGATTCCCACCCAGTCTCATGTTGAACTCTGGGTGAGGGGAGTCAGCTGCTCTTATGGGCTAGGAAAGAATTTGTCCTGGAGGGGTCAGAGAGGGCGGAGCTGACCAGTGGTAGGTTGACATGGGGAGGATCCAGGAAAGGAAAATTACAGTATGTAAGGAATACAATGTTCCCTAATATGTATATATATATATATAGATAGATAGATAGATAGATAGATAGATAGATAGATAGATAGATAGATAGATTTTTTAACAAATAGAGCCTTTTTTAATGATGTTGGATATATTTTTTGTTTTTTACTATATAAAGGAAAAAAGACCAACACTTTTGAAAAAAGCTGTTTCCCTTTACTTTCTGTTATAAAACATATCAAATAAAATGCCTGGACAGTCTAAACCACTCCAAATGATCCCCTTTTGGAAAACAAACACAAAAAAGTGATCTCATTTTTGTCAAGTGTCAAATTGTCAAACATATTTTTGAAAATATAAAAACATGCTGACATAGTGGGGGTTAAAACATGGAGCTTGGTAATGTTACCCTATGTACAATAAAATATACTGGTCATATGCAGAGGAGGAGGGGGTGAAAGCATTAATGAAACAGTCACATACAGTGGCAGGATGGAGTTAAAAAAGGTTAATGTATAGATGTGCAGAAAAAGGGAGGTGATGGGGTTAGTACAGATCACTGTAGAAATGAGATGGAACTGTGATATACAGGAGAATAGGTGGGCATAAAAGGTTTTAAAGTGATTTCCCAAAATTAGGATCTGCTGATCTGGAACTAATGAATGAATGGTTAGTGTATTTATTTGTTCCTCCTTTCTCTACTGTAAAAGGAAGGGGTTGCCTCTTCAATGTAAAAAACATACTGTTTAGATTTTGTATTGCTGTGACTGGTCATCACATGGTACAGAGCTGCTCGGACTGGCTCTGTACACTGTCTCTATGAACCAAACTGCGCAATGATGGCTCAGTTTACTCCCATTCATGGGCACACTGGCCACTGCAGGGTGGAGTCAGCAGTGCCATTTATAAATAGCACTGTACCTCATCATATTCAAAAAAATATAGTGGTATGCATATAAGTGATTAATAAACTCATTTTTTAATGATTATATATTGTATGGGGGAGCCCTTCTGCAGGGCGCCTGGGGCAATTGCCACTTTTAGCCCCTATAAATCTAGCGCTGATCTCATTTCTACAGTATATTGAGTTGCAGACCAGTATCCACTGCAGTGCCATTTTATGCCACCTTCCCATCTTCAGTCCTTCCCCACCCTGCTCCATTGATTAGCAGAGCTCATCTGAACAGCTGAAGTCCAAGTCCCCCTGATTGCTGCAAAGTCAAGAAGTATGTGATGGCTGTAGATGATGTTATCAGAGCAAAATCAGGGTAATAAAGTGGATTCTACACCTACCTGATATTTATATTTGTAAACTTAACATTTTAAGGGGAAAATGAAGATGTGACAAAAACAAAAGCTGGCAATAAAATGACACATCCGTCTTAGAATTCAGCCTTTAATATGTTACAGTAAATGCCAACCTGAGCTATAGGCTGGCAGTGTTGCAGGGCGGCTACACTGTTTTTAGTGCTTGTTTCCACTGTTATTGCAGTTGTTACTTAAATATATCTATTTACAAGAAACACACATTTCTGCACCTTTAAACATTTTTACATTTCCGAATATCTGATCTCAGTGTAACACAGGAGCTGTTTTGATTGCTCAGTAAAGAAATCCCTCCCTCATCACTTATCAATGAACTATGAAATGGTATTAAATAAAATTAATTAGAAGTTTTAATGAGTCATGTCTGTCTTCATTTATTATACAATGTAATTTTCAAAGATTGATTAATTATACAGCACAGATGATTGAATGTGTAATGTGATTCACTGATTTGTTAACCATGCTACAGAGCTGGAAAAGGCCGTGATAAAAACACTTCTGCTGGGAAATAACTCTACATATTTACATTTTTGAGTGTGGGAAACACTTGAAAGTCTGCAGTGCTAATGTTAATTATGTCTGTTTCATAGGTTACCAAGTTATTTGTATTAGGCATACCTCGTGAATCTGCATCCCAGTGATTACTTTTTTTTCACTCAATTTTTGAAATTCTGATTTCTGACATAACTACCTGCCATACTTTATGTAAAAATAAAAAATTGAATATTTTTAAGGGACTTAAAAAAACATATTTTTGATATATGAATAACAGCCAGATCCATTTTTCATTTTTTCTCATATTTTATTACTTCTCATGGGTAGGCTGTTTGTTGTACAATTCTCCTGTGTACAATCTCCCTTTTAAACTGGCCATACACACATTTGATGTGTATGCAGAAATCCTCCCTGCTGGGTCTTTGTAACTCCTCTGCTGCCAGAATACACTGATCAGTATTGCAGTCAATTGGCTACAAAAGTTGATCAAAGCAAAATTTTCCAAGCCCATTCATGAGAAGTTGATTATTAGATCAACTTTTCATGAATGGTAACAGCCATAGATGGATTGAAAGTTGGCTTCTCCCAGCTGAATTGGCTAAATATTGATCCATCTATGGCCAGCTTAACCCTTCTGCTGTCAGAGCAGTTTTTGGATTTTTGCACATGTTTAAAAAAATACTGTTAGACCTGAGGTGCGTGGCTGGAGTGGAAGATGAATGGCTGCATAACCACACAGCTCTGCTGTACTCACAGTGCCAGTACACAGCAGCAGCGGACCTGACACTCCAAAAGAGACCAGAGGAGAGGCAACAGCCCAGAGACCGAGATCCTCAGGGAGATGACAAAGAAGAGGAAAGCTGAGAGGAAACTCCTGAAATTAACAGAGTTTCCCCCTCAACTGGATCACAGCAATACCCAACATGGCAGCAGCAGCTCAGGATCCTCCTCCTCTCACTCAGCACACAGGCAAGTCTCTGCAGCTTCTCCTGTGACACCTGTTAAGCAGAAAAACAGCTCTATCTTACTGCATCCTATCTCCCCTGCTTTCTCTACTTCCTCTATTAAGAGCTCAGCAAAATCTAAACCTAGAATGACAGATATTAACCCACAGCATGCTGTAACAGATTCTCACACTAATACTTCACATTCTGCAAGTAATTTCTCAGATCCAGAGGCTAACTTTCCTACTGCTAGTCAGCCTATTTCTGATACTTTAATGAAGGAGATGATCCTTTCATTAAGATCATCCATACAGTCAGATATCATTAACTTTATGCAACAAATCAAATCAGAGATTAATGATCTTGGTGACAGAGTTGACCATATTGAAACAAAAATGGGAGAATATGCCACTTCCTTGAACACCCTAGTAGATGCCCACAATGAAAGGGATGAAGAAATTGAATGGCTCAAAAATAAAGTCACAGATCTGGAGGACAGATCACGATGTAACAATATTAAAATAAGAGGCATTCCAGAATCGATGCAACCTGACCAATTGAGAGCATATACCCAAGAGCTCTTTTGTGCCCTCCTACCTGATGCTGCAAACACAGATCTGACCATCGATAGAATACATCACCTTCCAAAACCCTCCTATCTGCCAGATAAAATATATCAAGATGATTTGATGAGAATTCATTTTTTTCATGTCAAAGAAAAAATCATGGAAATTGCATGCAAACCCCAAAATTTGCCTGCACAATTCTCTCTACAGCTTTTCACAGATTTATCTAAGCTCACCATGCAACTCCCAACAAATGAAATAAATGAACCACAAAATTATTTATCGTTGGGGTAACCCCACTAAATTGATCATCACCAGAAATGACTCAATCATCACAATCTACAGCCTAGAGGAAGGTCTGCAATGTTTTAGAGAGTGGGACATTGTCACAGAAAGTGACCTACAACATTCTACTGCCACCAGAGCATCTCCAGAGTGGAACCTGGTCACTCACAAATGCCAAACTAAACAATGACCGTATATTTGCAATCTTCTCTCCTGGCCCCCACTTAGATGTAATTTCACATGTTTAACCACTTGCCTACCGGGCACTTATACTCCCTTCCTGCCCAGGCCAATTTTCAGTTTTCAGCGCTGTCACACTTTGAATGACAATTGTGTGGTCATGCAACACTGTACCCATATGAAATTTTTATCAGTTTTTTTAGACAGATAGAGCTTTCTTTTGGTGGTATTTAATCACCTCTGGGTTTTTTATTTTTTGCTAAACAAACCGAAAACAACAGAAAATTTAAAAATAAAACTTTTTTTCTTAGTTTTTGTTATATAATTTTGTAAATAAGTGATTTTTCTCCTTCACTGATGTGCGCTAATGAGGCTGCTGTGATAGACACTGATAGACTGCACTGATGGGCATTGACAGGCATCACTGATGGGCACTGAAAGGCAGCACTCATATATGGCACTGATAGGTGGCACTGACTGGCATTGTTAGGTAGCTCTGATAGGCGGCACTGATGTGCACTGATAGGTAGCACTGACTGGCACTGATAGGCGTCACTGACTGGCACTGATAGATGGTACTGAATGGCAGCACTGATAGGTGGCACTGACTGGCATTGATAGGTGGCACTGACTGGCACTGATAGGTGACACTGAAAGGCAGCTCAGATGGGCACTGATATGTGGCATTGATGTGCACTGGTAGGCACTGATGGGCACTGGCAGGTGGCATTGATGAGCACTGACAGCTGGCATTGATGGGCATTGACAGGTGGCACTGCTGGGGCTACACTGATCAGGGCACACTGATCATCAGTGCCCTGATGATCAGTGTACATGTCCCCTCAGAGGGATGCCAATTACCGGCTCTCCACTACTCACAAGCTGTCAGGGTGACAGCTCATGAGGAGAAAAATGCTGATAACCGGCATTTCCCTATTTACATGCGATCAGCTGTGATTGGACACCGCTGATCATATGACCAAGCCGACATCTTCAGCTCTTTCCGTTGATCGATGATCCGCTGTGTCCGAGTGACACAGCGCACTACCAATTGCCGCGCTGCAGGCCCCCGTAACCGCGCATGTGCGGTTAGAGTGTGAGGACATCATATGATGTCCTCCCAGAATGAGAGAACCGCCTTGCACCCGTCATTACCTTATATGGTGGGTGGGAGGTGGTTAAGCAAGGCACTGAGGGTACTACCCTTACTGAACACACTACCTGTAAGTATGCCTGCCAATGGCAAGATCACTTGCTTTGTTTTTGCGTCAAAAGTACTACGCAATTTTCATTGCGTTCAAATCTTGGCTAAGATCCTATTTTTTACTGATTTGTTATCTGTTCAGTTATCTGTATTTGTTTATTTTTTTCCTTTTTGTTTCGACTATCGTGTAATTCCTGATAGTCTAAATGGTTTAACTGATATGTGCATAAACATGTATTACCGCTTTAGGGGCCCCTTGGTTAAGCTCCAATTAATATTGGTAAATATATCTATTTAATGGGTAGAAAAATTATCTCTATTTATGTCAATGGCTTGAATCATCCGGCCAAACGTACAAACATGTGGAAACAGGCATTTAAAGATAAATGTGATATACTCTGTGTTTAAGAGACTCATTTAGTAGATTTGGCCCCTCCTAAATGCTCACACAAAAGGTTTTCACTTGCCTATACTGCCAATGCCTCTGAAAAAAAAGAGTACTTACTGCTATTATAGATACACTAAACTTTGTTCTTCATAAAAATATCTCCGACCCCGAAGGCCGGTACCTGATTCTTATATGTACTGTAGATAATACAGATTACACTATTGTAAATTCATATGCACCTAATACTCATCAAAAAAGATACTTTACCGAGCTTTTCAAACTAATCTCCAAAAATCATTCTGATTCCTTTATACTATGTGGAGACTTCAACCTCATAGTTGACAGAAACCTAGATTTAACAAAATCTCAAAAAAAGACTACCCCAACCCTGTACCCCTTTTTAATAAAATAAGATGTCTATGAGGTTTGGAGGTGTCAACATGAAGGTGAAAGAGATTACACCTATTTTCAGCTAGACACTAATCTTATTCAAGAATTGACCTTATCTTGGTAGATAAATGGCTACTGCAAAATGTTACCACATCACCCATAGGCAATATAACGTGGTCAGACCACGCGCCGGTTTCAGTTACTATTTCAGATAACCACTTATTGAAACCACACAACATCTGGCAAATTGGTAAATTCATCCATTATAAAAACCCCAACAATTACTTGATACTTGAAAAACATCTTGAGGAGTTCCACCATATAATTTTGCAATCTGTATCAAGCTCTGGCACCCTTTGCTGCGCTCACAAACATATATACGTGGCATAATTTTACAAATGTGCACTAAAGTTAAAAAGAAAAGAAATAAACAATTTAATGACTTACTACAGGATATTCAAAAACTAGAAACACAAAATAAAGCTCAAATCAATCAAACCACCTCGAATACACTCTCCAGACTAAGGCAGGCCATAGATGGGCCGTTTATCGGTCGAATTTTCGGCCTATAAATTAAAAATCGGTTGGCCCCATTGCCGATGCTGAAACCCATGTCCACGAAAAACGGCCATTTTTTGTGGATTTTCCAGCATGACTGATAAAAATAAATGAGGAGATTCGCGAAAAACGGCTGACGGGCTGGCCCCACTAACGGCGTGATTATCTGCCAATTTTTCGTGCGGATGAAAATTTTGGCCGATAAACAACCCATCTATGGCCTGCATAAGGAACAAATTATGCTCCTTACTAATGTACCAATTTGATATAAGTATGCAAAGATTAAAACTCAACTACTTCTCTAATGGAAACAAAACAGTGAAATATCTAGCGAATAAAATGAAATCCCTGCATATTAGAACTAAAATGCTGTATCTTATCAACACAAAAGATAAAACTAAAATCACTAATCCTCAAGAAATAGCAAATTAATTTCCTAGTTACTACAATTTGCTTTATAACCTAAATCAAGACAAATCCACTCTTCAACCTTCTATGGAAAACTTGCATTTTTATCACAAATTTGCTTACCCACACTTTCAAAATCACAACTAAGTATCTTAAACTCCCCTATCACAATACATGAAATAAACAGAACAAAAGAAAAATTACCCAATGGCAAAAGTCCAGGACCAGATGGATTTCCAGCGAATACTATAAAATTTTTGAGAGTCCTCATCTAAACCAACTATACACTGATGCGTTTTCTTCTACCTCATTACCTTTCTGAAATGCTACAAGCATTAATTGTAACAATCTACAAATCAGGTAAAGATCCAGACAACTCACAAAATGTAAGGCCTATAACTTTATTACATACTGATATTAAGATATACGCTAAAATTATAGTGTGCAGACAGGCCAATATACTCCCAGATTTGATCAAGCCTGATCAGTTAGGCTTTACTAAAGGTAGACAAACATCTAACGCAACAAGGAGACTAATCAACATAATTCATTACGCAGACTCACATAAAATTCCCTCCTTATTACTTGCTCTGAATTCCGAAAAGGCTTTTGATAGGGTACACTGGACACACATGTTCCAAGTACTGCATAAATTTGGATTTTCAGGAACAATTATTAATGCTATTTCAGCACTTTACTCAAATCCTTCTGCCCAAGTCTATGTATCTAACATGCTACCCAAACCATTCTTAATTACAAATGGTACCAGACAAGGATGCCCATTGTCGCCACTAATTTTGAACCTATCAATTGAACCTCTTGCTGAAACAAACAATTCAGAAATACATGGCTTCTATATAGGTAAAAACCACCACAAAATAACGCTCTTTGCAGATGACATCATTTTAATGCTAACTAATCCCTCTACTTCTTTACCAGCAATTCAACAAACTCTCATACAATTCAGTAATATTTCATATTATAAAATAAATGCATCCAAATCTAATATCCTAAATCTAAGTGTAGATCACATTCTAAAAATGCACCTCCAAAACAAATTTCCCTATATCTGGGAAAATGAAGCCATTCCTTATCTTGGAATATTGTTGACAAAAAAAATCTCTGACCAAGGAACTCTCAATTATTCTAAATTCATTCCAAAAATTCAAAACCCACCTTAATCAAATGGCTAAACATGAACTATCCTGGTCTGGCAGACTGGCCGCATTTAAAATGTTCATATTGCCACAGATTTTATATCTATTTAGATCAGTTCCAATCCCAATTAAATCTTCATATCTAACAAAACTACAATCTATGCTTAAAAAATATGTCTGGGGAAATATGAGACCTAGATGCTCACATAATACATTAATGAAACACAAAAAATAGGAGGAATGGGATTTGTTGACATTAGGGACTATCACAAAAGCATCATTATTAGACCAACTTAAACATTGGTTTATAATAGAAGATGATACAAAAGGGGGTGACATTGAAAAATCAGTCTCTACTACAGATTTAAGCGCCATACTACTAGTGAGATCGTGGCAAAGGATTCCCACTAGTAAAACAATACCAACTATATGAGCCTCACTTGAAGCCTGGAAATCCTTAAGCTCCATGCCTATAGATACTCTCTGAATAAGTCCTCTTTCTATACCAGCCTTAGAAGTCGTAATTCCTAGAACAGATATCTCAAATTGGAAACATAATGGCATACGCACAGTACAAGAAACGACATAAAAATTTTGGAATTCCTTATGTAAGAGTTTAACCTACTCCCTTCTGAAAAATCAACCTATACACGCATCAGTCATTGCCTATCAAAACATCCAGTAAAAACAATATATATATATATATATATATATATATATATATATATATATATATATATATATACCCAAAGTATCTTTACAGTTCTATAGCTCTGCTACTCGTAAATCAGGTGGTAGAACCCTATTTTATAACCTTCGACAATGTAAATCAGAATTTAATAAGACTACTCCCTTAATCAAGTGGGAAAAAGACTTAGAGACTGAAATCTCTAATGAGCAGTGAGAATGTGCATTCAGGAATGTGTTTTCAGCTACTACAGGTGAAACTCGAAAAATTAGAATATCGTGCAAATGTTCATTTATTTCAGTAATGCAACTTAAAAGGTGAAACTAATATATGAGATAGACTCATTACATGCAAAGAAAGATAGTTCAAGCCGTGATTTGTCATAATTGTGATGATTATGGCTTACAGCTCATGAAAACCCCAAATCCACAATCTCAGAAAATTAGAATATTACATGCAATCAATAAAACAAGGATTGTATATAGAACAATATCGGACCTCTGAAAAGTATAAGCATGCATATATACTCAGTACTTGGTTTGGGCCCCTTTTGCAGCAATTACTGCCTCAATGTGGTGTGTCATGGAAGCTATCAGCCTCTGGCATTGCTGAGGTGTTATGGAAGACCAGGATGCTTCAATAGCGGCCTTCAGCTCTTCTGCATTGTTCGGTCTCATGTCTCTCATCTTTCTCTTGGCAATGCCCCATAGGTTCTCTATGGGGTTCAGGTCAGGCGAGTTTGCTGGCCAATCAAGCACAGTAATCCCATGGTCATTGAACCAGGTTTTGGTGCTTTTGGCAGTGTGGGCAGGTGCCAAGTCCTGCTAGAAAATGAAGTCAGCATCCCCATAAAGCTCGTCTATGGAAGGAAGCATGAAGTGCTCCAAATCTCCTGGTAGATGGGTGCGTTGACCCTGAACTTAATGAAGCACAGTGGACCAACACCAGCAGGTGACATGACTCCCCAAATCAACACAAACTGTGGAAACTTCACACTGGACTTCAAGCATCTTGCAGTGTGTGCCTCTCCATTCTTCCTCCATACTCTGGGTCCTTGGTTTTCAAATGAGATACAAAAGTTGCTCTCATCAGAAAAGAGGACTTTGGACCACTGAGCAACAGACCAGGTCTGTTTTTCTTTAGCCCAGGTAAGACTCTTCTGACGTTGCTTGTTGTTCAGGAGCAGCTTGACAAGAGGAATATGACATTTGAAGCCCATGTCC